GGGAGGCAGGAACTTGTCCTTGACCCAGGCCATACAATCCCAATAAAAGTTACCATAAGGCCCTCCCTGGTGGTGCAGCGGGTTAAAGCACTGCACTAAGAAGCTAAAGCCACTTCCGCATGAGTTCGATTCCCGCCTGCCCCGGAGGTGACCACATGGCCCGGCAGACCTCTCCTGACCCGCCCGCTGCTCCCCTCAGCAGTGTACTTCGTCGATCTGCCTGTTCTGCTTCCCACTATGTCTCAGGTGAAGCCTCTCACCCTCCACATCTCTGGCCTGTATCCCAGTTGTGTATGAATAAATAAATAAATCTTTAAAAAAAAAAAGTTACCATAAATGCACTTGGGAATGGAAAATGTAGTGGGCAAGGCTTTCATAAATACTCGCAAGTTAATGACTTTGCTATTTCATCACAGTCCAATGCAATTACTTTGAGTGTTAGAACAGTAGAGGATATCACAGCACTTGTCTTAGCCTGGGGTCCTCCAATGAGGTAGATCAGATGTGCAAGAGATTTATTAAGGAAAACACACGTGAGAGAAAATGAAGAGGGACCCAGAGGAGATTGAGACAGTCATCAGAGGCAATGGTTTACACAGCAATGTGGGTCTGGAGAAAACTTTTTTCAGGCCGGTGGGGACTTCTTGGGTCCATATCACCCCCAAGGGAGTTCTAAACCTCTCAGGACTAGACCTACCACACACATAAGCATGGGCCAGGAGAAGGCCCTGGGCAGCCAGGCCTGAGCACCAACCATCCAAGCACACCAGCCGGGCTGTCTGTCAATTACTGGGCTGCTCCCTGCAATCTGAGATCTGAAAGGGGCCACCCCAGTCCTTTTTCCTAAAACAGCTGTAGACACCTGTTCTGAACCATCAAAATGGAAACTTAGTGACCCTCACAGTGACTCACACCAGTGAAAGCACAGAGATGTGTCCACCTAGTCCTAAATTAGATGTGGCTAATCCTTCTAGACTCCTGAGGCCCTTCTGGGAAAGAATATATGCGACCACATTATGTTCAGCTCATAACTAAAAATAACTCAAATAATTTAAATTTAACTCATAACTAAAAATAATTGAAGGAGGCCAGTGACCATTGATCCCAACCCATCACTGGAAAACATGTGTGAGAAGTAATCCCAGATCGGACTTAGCGAGAACCAAATTGCAGCAGGAATTTTCCGCCAGTTAACAAAATGGACTGATGTATGACCAGTAACATTAACAATCCTGATTTTTTTGTATGTCTTTCTATGCTGGACCATCAGGTATCATTATGTTTATGACTGTCATTATGTTTAGTCCAGAGTCTGTCGCTGCAGTGCTAAAGTGTAGATTAGCACACTTGGCTTAAGTTAACATACAGGAATGGGAAATGGCCTCATTTTCTTGATTCAGGTAAGGAGTATCTATTACCAAAACAAAAATAAAACTTGGATTTGGTTAAGGATAATGAGGGGTCTGGGAAGTGGCTGTGATGGAGTTACACGCTGTTTCCTGCCTGGTTATTTCTAGAAGACCTTGCTTGGGATGGTAGATTACAATCCAAACTCTTTAGTGCATCAACAGGGTCCCTTCAACAGGGTCCAGGGTCCCTTCACATCTAGCACTATGCAAACCCTGTTGGTCAGTCACAGGCATGATGAACACTGGTCTCCCCAAGTTCTTTGCATCTGCCTCTCCATGCTGTGGACTATGATTCAGCCTCATGTTACAGCACCGCCCACTCTTCTCTGCCCATAATGATCATATCTAATTGGTCAAAGTCAGTTTCCCTGCCACCTTCTCTTTAAGTCTGATACCTTGATCAGTGCCAGTGAATATGTGTGCAGTGAGAATAGGCTGACTTTCATGGAGTAGTTTCTGTTTTCTCCAAGGTGGGAGGAAAGGAATGGGGTTTGCATAGGCCCCCGAGCAATGACCCTTCAGCCAGAGGCCATGTCAACCACGCCACCATCTGTGGTAGTTGTTAAGCAAAGCTTTGTGCTGTGGTCTATGTTATTCAGTTTCTATTCTTCAGCCATCTCCTGCTCCAGCAGGTACCTGGTGAGGATGTGCCTTCTTCTGCTCTCTCACCCTGGAAAATTCACCTTTGCTTGAAGCCCTTCTATTAAATCAAAACCAAAATACCCTTTGAGACAGTAAATACCCTTATCATAAAGACTGACATTGATATGGGTAGAAGCTCATTACAGACTGAGACTAACACACACAAGAGGCCCTGAGCTCAGTGGTTGGCCCTGAAGGTCCCTCACCCACTTCCTAGTCTCCACCCAGCTCCTGCTAGGAGACAGCAGAACTCACCTCGTTTCACACTGGCCTTTCATTCTCAAATATCTGAAATACAGAGAGGTCTTCTCCAAGGTGTCTTCCTGGTAGTTTCTGTTAGCTCTTTCGTTCTGCAGCCAGACTGCATTCGGTCCATTGCCAAGTAAATTTCCACCAGCCTCCAAAGACTGGGTTATTATTTACTTGCAAACTCAGTGGACATTTCTTAAATACCATAAAAAGCTATTCATTTATACATATGCACTTTTGTATTTAGTGTGAAACTAAAACCTACTAACACGTCAGAAGACAAACAGGAAATGAGGGCTTAGGGTAGGCAAAATAAAGCCTGAGAGCAGCTGACAGAGCCCTGTGAAATGATCAAGTACACGGGTGCCAAATTACAACCTGGGTGAGGGAAAGACATCTGCATAGTCAGGAGGAGGACCTGGCAGTTTACAAATCTTCCTTAGGGATTTGATGACTAAGCTAAGAAAAATGTGTCATTTTCCAGGGAAAAGAATTTTCTCCATCACCCACAGCCTAGCAAGAACATTGCTGGACAGGATTTCTATGTATACGACATATTTCTACATATATTAGCAGACCAAAAAGTGAGTTCCGCATCCTCTGGATTCAGAGTTCTCTGAACCACCCCAAAATCCCCAGCCTGGGGTGCATGGCGGGTGTTGAGCCCCATGCTCCCCACTAGGGGCAGCCCCGCCACACAGGGGCGCCGGCCACAGTCACGCACCCTGCCCACCCCAGAGCTGAAGGAGCCCAGTCCCCGGGCATCAAAGCACATCCTCGGCTGTGGGGTACTTGGTTTTGGGGGAACTGTTTACTGGAGAGTTAGCCTTTGCATTTTCCACCGAGTGTGCGGCAACTTTGCTCAGCTCCCTGTGGCACTCAGGGGAATTTCAGAAAGTCTAGGGAGACCGGGTCCCAACCGGACCCATAGAGGTTAAGGATCCCCATCTTCCGAGAGCGCTGGTCGTGTATCCCGCAGGGTCCAGCGACCCTATAATGCCGCCCTCAGAGCTGTGGGTCGCGCGGGACTCGTGGCGTTTCGGGGCGCGGCCACAACACCGCCCACCTATTGCCCCGCCCCTGAGGGTCCGCCGCGTCTCCAGGGAAGTCCCACTCCCCGCCCGGGGCAGTTCCGAGCGCCGCTGCTGATGCCCCGCCCACTGTCCCACCCTCCCAGCCCTACGCCCCGCCCCCATTCTTACGGCCCG